GAATTTTCATAGGGATTGCACTGAATCTGTAGATCACTCTATGTAGTACTGACATTTTAACAATATTATCTTCTGTGCCAGGCATGGTGGCTCATGCCTATAGTCCTAGCACTGTGGGAGGCGAATGTGGGAGGATTGCTTGAAGTCAAGAGTTGAGACGTGCCTAAACAAAAGCAAGACCTCATCTCTACTAAAAATAGAAAAAGTTAGCTGGGCCAGGTACTGTGGCTCACACCTGTAATCCTAGCACTCTGGGAGGTGGAGGTGGATAGGTAGATCACCTGAGTTTGAGACCAGCCTGAGCAAGAGCGAGACCCTGTCTCTAAAAATAGCTGGGGTGTTGTGGCGGGCACCTGTAGTCCCAGCTATTCTGGAGGCTGAGGCAAGAGAGTCATTTGAGCCCAAGAGTTTGAGGTTGCTGTGAGCTGTGATGCCATGGCACTCTACTGAGGGCGACAAAGTAAGACTTTGTCTCAAAGAAAAGAAAAAATTAGCCAGATGTGGTAGTGCACTCCTGTGGTCTTAGCTACTTGGAAGGTTAAAGTCGAAGGATAATTCAAGCCCCGGGGCCTGAGGTTTTGTGAGCTATGATGGTGCCATTACACTCTAGCCAGAGACTGTATCCCCCACCCCCACAAAAGATTTGTCTTTCAATTAATAACCATAGGATGTCCTTCCATTTGTTTAGGTCATTTTTAAGCACTATGTTATCATTTTCAGTTTACAAAGATTTTACTTTTTTTTTTTTTTTTGAGACGGAGCCTCAAGCTATCCCCCTGGGTAGAGTGCTATGGCTTCACAGCTCACAGCAACCTCCAACTCCTGGGCTCAAGCGAGTCTCCTGCCTCAGCCTCCCAAGTAGCTGAGACTACAGGCACCCGCCACAACGCCTGGCCATTTTTTGGTTGCCGCCATCATTGTTGTTTGGCGGGCCTGGGCTGGGGATTCGAACCCGCCACCTTAGGTGTATGTGGCTGGCGCCTTAGCCGCTTGAGCCACAGGCGCCGAGCCAAGATTTTACTTTTTTAGTTAAATTTGTTCTTGGCATTTTTTTCTTTTAGATGCTATCATAAATGGTATATTGTCTTCTTAATTCCCCTTTTAGATTATTAATTGATATTGTAGAGGAGCAAAACTGATTGTTGTGTGTTGATCTTTTACCCTACAACTTTGCTGAATTTGCTTATTAGCTCTAGTAAACATAAAGTTTAGTTTAAACAAAAAGTTTAGTAGCTTTGTAGATGCTGTGGGATTTTTTATATATAGGATCATGCCACCTACAAATAGAGATAGCTTTACTTCTTTCTTCCCAATTTTGATGTCTTTTATTTGTTTATTTTTTCCCTAATTACTGACTAGAACTTCCAATATAATGTTAAATAGCAGTGGTGAAATCAAGTATCTTTGCCTTGTACCTGATGGTAGGGGAAAAGCTTTCAATTTTTCACCATTGGGTATGATGTTAATTGTGGGTTTTTAATAACTGCCCTTTATCATGTTGAGGAAGTTATCCTCTATTACTAATTTTCTGAGTACGTTTATTATGAAAGGGTGCTGGATTGTGGCAAATGACTTTTCTGCCTCAATTCAAATGGTCATGTGTTTTATTTCCCTTTTGTTCTATAAATGTAATATATTACTGATTTCATTGATCTGTAAATTTCTTTCCTTGTAGTGTTCTTATCAGACTTTGGTATCAGACCTTATAGAATAGATTAGGAAGCATTTCCTTCTTTTCTATTTTTTGGAAGAGTTTGAGAAGGATTGTGTTAATTCTTTTTTTTTTCTTTTGCAGTTTTTGGCTGGGGCTGGGCTTGAACCCGTCACCTCCAGCCTATGGGGCCCGCGCTTTACTCCTTTGAGCCACAGGCGCCACCCAAGATGGTGTTAATTCTTTTTCTTTTTTTCCTTTTTTTGAGACAGAGTATCACTTGGTCACCCTTGGTAGAGTGCCATGGCATTTTAGCTCACAACAACCTCAAACTCTTGAGTTCAAGTGATTTTCCTGCTTCAGCCTCCCAGGTAGCTGGGACTACAGGCACCCAGCACAGCACATAGCTATTTTTTAGAGACAGGGTCTCACTCTTGCTCAGGTTGGTCTTGAAGTTGTGAGCTCAGGCAATCCGCCCGCCTGGGCCTCCCAAGTGCTGGGATTATAGATGTGAGCCACTGTGCCAGGCCCAGATTGGTGTTAACTCTTTATATGCTTAATATAATTAATATTAATATTAATTAATATTATTATTATAATAATAATAATTCACCAGGTGGCACACGTAGGTCAGTGGGTAGGGCAATGGCTACATACACCGAGGCTGGCAGGTTCAAACCCAGTCCAGGCTAGCTAAAACAACAATGACAACTGCAACAACAACAACAAAATAGCTGGGCATTGTGGCCATTGCCTGTAGTTCCAGCTACTTGGTAGGCTGAGGCAAGAGAATCTTCAAGTCCATGAGTTTGAGGTTGCTGTGAGCTGTGACGCCATGGCATTTTACCCAGGGCAATAGCTTGAGACTCTGTGTCCAAAAAAAAAAAAAAAAAAAAAAA